GGGGAGTGGAGGTTTAAAAAAAGGGGTTTGGGGGGGGGGGGGGGGGGGGGGGGGGGTGATATGGAAAAGTTGAAATGTTATCCTTGTCCAGTGCAAAAAAGAGCCCTGTTGACCCTAAAAAACCGCACCAACATGGTGGTGTCCAGCCGCAGAAATTAATCACAAGATGCGACCAAGAGGTTGTCGAACGTGAGTCTAGGGATTTCAGCCCCAAGCTGGTTCCCCGCGATTCGTGTCCGGCGCGGTGGTTCTTTCGAGTAAGCAGGCGTCTACCCGGCTTCTCCAGTAGCCGGGGCCTCGACCAAAGTAGTAACCATGTTCGAACTATCAAAACCACAAATATAAAAGCAAAAACCGGCTCTGCTGAGCGAAAAAAAACATCATGGTTAAAGGGTTGGAGAACGGACACAAACAATCCGCACCAGGAAATGATTTTCAATGATGATCAACATGCTCTGCCGAACCCCAGTAACGATATTTGTTTGGTCTTCGATTAATCAACACCCAATTGTGGTTTCTCGTCAACCACATATCACTGGATCGAGCCAGGAACAAACTAATACAACTACTTAAGTCGGTATTAGTTGCTTGCCAGACAACTACTGTTCCAGGAGTGTGCGCACCCAGTTGGCTGTAGACAACTACTCTTTGAGGAGCGTGCGCACCTAGTTGGCTGTAGACAACTACTCTTCCAGGAGCGTGCGCACCTAGTTGCCTGCAGACAACTACTTTTCCAGGAGCGTGCGCACCTAGTTGCTAGTAGACAAGTACTTTTCTAGGAGCGTGCGCAACTAGGTTTTAACGGCAACTAGCCGGTAGTTGTCTGGCAAACAACTAACTCAGTTAGTTAGACTATTAGTTAAAGTTGTACAGGGTGGCAAATTTCTTTGCCTCAAAAACGCCCCCCTCCCCCTTACCGGCATCTCCGGAGAACCCGGCGTGCCCCCCTTCCCCTTGGTAACCCACGCCGGAAGGTTGGAAAGTCCGCGACCTCGCCCGCGCCCCATGCTCGCGTCCATGGCCGCCACATCGTGCCCGGGGCCACCGCCACCACCCCGCCCTCTACCCACGCCTGCCATCGCTGGTGCGCCGATTCCTCCGCCTCCGATCCCAACGCCCACCCCTGCCGCCCCTGGACCCGCACCTCCCACCTCGTGCGACTTAGCGGCCGCTTCTTGGATCTTCTTGATCGTGGCTGCTCGCTCCTCATCTTGGCGTTTCCGCTAAATAGAAAAACGTTGCAAGTGTTTGTGTGTCGGCGACGGACGTCAAAACTAAAATGATTACATTCGCCTTCAATCTTTCGTGCGAAAGGCAAAGCAAGAAGCTTGTCTCCGCCGTCCATGAGGCCTTCGCTGCAGCGTGTGAGCGCGCCGACTGGGGGGTGCAGCTACGATGTCACCTCACTTCAAATCAGACCAATCCCGAAGATTGACAGGAGGGGGGGGGGGCGCTTGCTCTCCCGGTTCTTCCTCGGGAAACGCTAAACAATCGCGGTTTGCTACCATCGGAACCGCAGGCAATAAAGTACCACGGAAAAAAGCAGAGAGCATTCCACGCACCTCTCGCTCCTGCTCCTCCATGATAATCTTGAGCTCCCTATCCCGCTCCTCCTGCTTCTTCTTGTCGATCCTCTCTCGGCAGTATTCCATGTAGTCGTTGGGGCGAGCCGGGTCGTAGTCGTCATCTACGTCCCCGAACCCCATATCCCACGACTGAGGCCTACTCGCGGCCGGAGAAGGGGTTTCCTGGAGGGTGAAGCATGTCACAAGGGGTCAGGAAGGTACAAGGGCATTCGTTTAGGAGATAATTTAGAAACAAACAAAATGGAAGGAAGGGGGGAGCGGGGGGCAGGACGACCAGAGTTGGTCGGCAGCCGCGATTGCGCTCGCTCCCAACACCCAAGGTCGGCTAGAGTAAGCAAAACCAAGTCATTAGACCAGCCAGCGCTGACCGGTCTTACGTAATCGGCTGCTGAAAAACCCTTCAGACCTAGCGCCGACTGGTCTATATGATGGCTTGACTTGGGCGGCTCAAAAAGCCCATTATAGACCAGTCAGCGTTGAGTTTGATATGGGTTGCTAAACGGGTGCGCGATGGCCGAGGCGTCGCAAACCTTGACCTTTTGGGTCTGAAACCGTTCCTTCCCCCAGTGCATCCTTGTTGAACCTGTTAGTTGAGTCTTCCTCCACTGGTATGTACATCGTGCCTCTACCGCCCGCCCCCGTCGACCCACTACCACACACAGGAACGACTTCGCGAGGACGTTATGAAAAAGAGGGGGGGGCGGGGTCGTACCCCTATCACTAACCCTCCCCCGTGCTCCCTACTAAGACCAAGCTTAGCATCTTCGAGAAGGTTACTGCACAGACACAGGTTGACTCATCTCGGGGGCACGCAGACAGCACTAAGTAGTCCGCACTACCCCAGAGTCTGGACTATTGATCGACGCATGCATAGCTCAATGTTACCTTAGCCTTTGTTGGGGTAGAGCTTTCCGCCTTGGATTTGGTCTTGCTGGGGCGAGCGCCGGCGGCGGAAGGGGGTCCTGGGCGTTTCAGGGTAGGCGGTGCCATCCTCGAAGTTGCCTAAAGCACACCGGGGGGGGGGGGGGGGGGGGGTTCTAC